GTTAACAAGAATGATAAGGGTAGGTTATTTCAACCCCTTCCACTCATTTTAAAAAAGTGAGAAAATTACCAGAAAGTGTGTTTTCATAACAATAATGCTTCCATAAAATTTCATTAGTCTATCTCTTTTCGTTTTCAAGATAAAAAATAAGAACATTCTTTTTCCGCCATTTTTGTAATGCGATATCTCCCTAATGGTTGACTTTTGACCCAACGTTTATGAAGCAAACTACCCTTTATTTTGAACAAGGAATCACCCCCTGAAGTTTTTCGCATTTGTTTTGAAACACCCTGTATATATTATCTATATTATACAGGGTGTCCCAGAAATAAGTGCAAATATTTTAACTGGTAGTATAGTTCAACCCCAGAAACACGCCTATGAGGTTTTTTTTGCGAAAAAAAAATGTTGAAAATTTAAAATTTTTCTTGACATTTTCCCGGAAATTTGAAAAAACTTTTTAGTGCCACTTGTTTATTCACCTGAGATTTCTCTACGGTGTATCTAAACCTTGCAGTGTTGCAACCTCCTATGTTATCCACATTCGACATAGTTCTACATTTATAAATTCATACACAAATTTCTACTCAAAAATTAGGAATGTTAAATTTAATCTTTTATCAGTGCTCATTATTAATAATTATTATAGAAAAAAAAAACATTAATTATTTTTAGTACTTACCCTTTCAAAGAAAACTTAACAAAAACCACCGAAAATTAACTAAAAGGCTGAAACATTACGTTTATGACGTTTACGAAAATGATTCATCATATTATTTACAACCAGGTCGCAAAAAAGAAATTCCTAAAATGTTTATCGTAATTTAGAATTCAATATATCGAAAACAGCCCAACGAATAATCGATTAATTTCTGTTTTGTTTGTTTTCTTTCATGTTTCTCTGTTTTATTTCAAACACTGATTTACAAAACACCTTGAAAAGCGCACATTACTTTGAATACCGTCTCTTATCGCCACTTTACGAACTACTTTCAATCTAAGAAAATACATGTTTCACTCAACAATTTTAAATACGTATTTTGTTTTTTCGCTATTTTTTCGATGTATTTCGACAGACCAACCGTCGCGCGTCGGCCAAGAGTGCCACGTGTGAACTGGTCCTTTGAGCCGCGTCGTCGTGGCGGGCTTGCGTCAGACGATGATGTTTCATTGCCGTAGTTACAACAATTTCAAATTCAAGACATTCGAAGCAATCAAATTCGTATTAAATTTTAAAAATAAAACAGAGAAACATGAAAGGAAACAAACAAAACAAAAATGAATTGATTATTCATCGGGCTGTTTTCGATATATTGAATTCTGAATTACGATAAACGTTATAGAAATTTCTTTTTTGTGACCTTATCAATAATCAATTAATTTGTGTTTTGTTTGTTTCCTTTCATGTTTTTCTGTTTTATTTTTAAAATTTAATAAGAATTTGATTGCTTCGAGTGTCCTGAATTTAAAATTGTTGAAACTACGGCAACCTCGCATGACGCAAGCTCGAGACGCCGGCGCGACAAAGGAGCAGTGAGCAGTTACCAACCAGTGATGCGCGACTGTCTTGGCCGACGGTTGGACTGTCGACGGAATTGTCGAAATACATCGAAAAAAATAGCGAAAAAACAAAATACGTATTTAACATTGTTGAGTGGAACATGTATTTTCTTAGATTGAAAGTAGTTCGTAAAGTGGCGGTAAGAGACAATAATTCTCAACATTTATTCATTCAGAAAGGTAGTAGCTTTTCAAGGTGTTTTGTAAATCAGTGGTTCAAATTGTGATGAAGCCTATATGAAAATAATGTGTTAAGTTAAAAATGGGGACTGTTATTTTAGCAGTTTTTATAATAGCATGTACAAGTAAAGCAGCACAATGAAGTGTATTTTAGTTAAGTGTGTATCCAAAAAGAGAACTGTCGCAGTTACATCGATCTGTCATAATTATCTTTTTTAATGTTGGGTAAGTTTTTTAATTTAACTTTTTTAACTTTTAAACATTTAACTTTTAATTTATTTTATGTAATAATATCACAATCTGAAAAATGTAATGCATCTCTGCAAACTCCTCAGGTGTTGTGATTTTATGACTTACTTTTAAACATATACTTTCTTGTCCATATGGCAACACAGTGCGTCGAATTAACTGAAATCCGGGCTTGATCCGGGTAATTGGATGTAGTTGGCAATATCTGCCGGCGGTTCTCAAAATGTTGCGATTATTTTTTTAAATTTTCAAAGTTAAATAACTCGGTTATTTTCAATTTATTTTAAAAATAGTAAAGAGAAAATATGTTTATTTTGACCAGATCTACCACCCCTTAAAATATCTGCACTCATTTCTGGGACACCCTGTATATATTATACAATGAATTAAAAAATCGCGCCCTCGATTACTTATGCCTATTCAGCTTATAATGCCTTGTTAATAGACCCACTACAGTTTTGACTGTCTTTCTGTCAAGGTATAGACATGATTTAATAATGATATTATTTTGATTTCTTGCAGAAATGTTACTGAACCAAGTAGAGACCTAGAAGAGACAGCAGGGGGTGGTTCTACCAACACTATCTATGCATACGACAACCCAGCACTGACAGCTTCAACTAGTGACCTTCCAGGCAGTCTTAGACGAGAAATAGCGTTAAGAAATGAACTATCAGCCGGATCAAATAATTTTACAGGTAAATTACTACGATAATATGTAAAAATAATAGAAAAAAAAAAACAATATATTATGTACTTACTGTGTGACATAGAAATTGCAACACCCAGTAAACGTAAGAACAGGGTGTCCCAGAAATAACTGCAAGTATTTTAAGGGATGGTAGATCCGGCCAAAATAAACATCTATACCTATGTGGCGGATTCATCTCTCCAAAAAAATCCTTTATGGGTATTTCGCCACTGTACTGCAAGAAAATCTACAACAAATAAGAAAAATAAGAAAAAAAAAGAAAAAAAAAGGAAAGAGATAAACTTTCCGAAACCTTTCGACCTTTGACCAGTGTGTGAGATGATCAAAATTTTAAAATTCAAATTTGTTCAAGATTAAACATCAACAAAAAAGTCGTTTACCGCATATAGGGCTCTCTCCAGTAAGTATGATTTCAGAGCTTTGCGAAATGCGGGAAAGAATGAAAGCGACTTGATATTCAAAGGCAGAAGATTGTACTTTTTTTGGGATTGTACAGGGTGGGTCAAATTCGACGCTTTTAAATGGAAACACCCTTTTCTATAGAAGATAGACGAGCTCAATTTTCATCAAAAACATGATGGTGAAAACCGCACATCAATATCTGTTACCGTTTCGGAGTTATGGGGTGTTTTTCAATAATGTGCATTTTTAACAAATCGCTGTAACTTTTTTGCTATGGAAAATTTTGTATTTCTATGAAAACATTTCCAAAGCACCTTTTTACGTAGAATTTAATGGTTTAAGTATAATTTTTTTAAAATTAATAATTCAAGAGTTATCAACAGAAAAATTGATTTTTTATTTAGGACATCCCCTATATTTTGAATCAACTTAAAAGAATTTAAAATTACCTATCCAAAAATATAGCAGACTTGATATTTTGTTATAATCCCCTTCGAAATACAGAATTTTTAAAAGTTCGCCACTTTTAACTAGTAGGCTTTGGACCCCTTATTGATGATTTGCCCTTAGTGGAACTCGAAAACATATTTTTCCAGCAAGACGACGCACCGCCTCTGAACGCTGAAGTTATCAGCAAATTTTTGGCAGCCAATTTCAAGAATAATTGAATAGCTAACCAAGATCCCAGCCATTGGCCGCCGAGGCCGCCTGACTTAGTGCCCATGGATCTAAGCTTATGGATATATTTGCGGAAGAATAAAGGTTCCTTATTCTTCCCTATAATCTAGACAAGGATTAGAAATACTTAGCAGTTATGAGAGGGTATCTTTCACCCCCACTGAGTTAATCAAGTCCGCGAGAAATGTTCAAAAACTGCCATGTCTGTCCATAACAGAAGACGGTCGATATGTCGAATACCTGTAGCAAGATCTGTCTTGGTTTGCTATTTATTTTTATTGTTATTAAATATAGTTTAAATGTGTTGATGTTGGTTAAATATATTTTAAATTGTTATAAAATTCTGCATCTCTCATAGCAAATATTATTTTCGTTTTAATTGATGCTCACAGCTAAAATTTTTTCTGCATTACAGCCGGTGCCGTTCAAAGCCTACTTATTTAAAGCGGGAATTTTTATATACTCTATATCTCGAAGAGGAATCGAACAAAATATCAAGTGTGTTATATTTTTAGAACGGTAATTTTAAATTCTTTTCAATAAATTAAAAATATACAGGGTGTCCCATATAAAAAATTAAATTTTCTGTTGATAATTCTTAAATTATTAATTTAAAAAAATATATACTTAAACCATTAAATTCGTAAAAAAGTGCTTTGGAAATGTTTCGATATGCGGTTTTCACTGTCATGTTTTTGACAAAAATTGAGCTCCAGACACCGATATTAGTTTTTGTCCTATAGATATCTCCTATAGAAAAGGGTGTTTCCATTTAAAAGCTTCGAATTTGACCCACCCTGTACAGTATTGAGCCTTTAACTAGTTCTGAGTTCGGGATTGGCAGATAAAGATCGTGCTCCGCATTCCTAAGTGGATAGTTGTGAGCTGGCCTTTCGGGAATAGCAGATATTATGTGCTTGCGGATTAAGCAAACGGATTTAAAAATGAATAAAGAAGAAAGAGTCAATATTTCGAAATTTTTAAAGTAATTCTTCATGGACGTGTTTCTGGGGTCGAACTTATTTTTATTTCTGGAACACTCTGTAAAAACAAAGATCAAAACGATAAACTTTGTTGACAAAAATATCTTAATGAAAAAAAAATTCAAAAAGAACCAAGATATACAAAGATATCAAGTGCACCACCATCTTGAAACTGATAAGATAACACCACCTGAAATCACACGCAACACAAGAATAGTCCAACTTGTATTTTAGTTGTTTACATCGTAAAATTGATTGTAGTTGTTACATTTTAAATGACAGGGTTATCGTTTCAGTGTCGCGAAGCATATGACCAAAATTTTATCGACTCTTTCAGGGGAAACCTGTGCAAAATCGGACAAAATTATTGCTGTTATGTTATTTTCGACCTTAGACATAACATTTCGAGGTTTTTGAGTGTACATTCCTTTGCTTTTTTACATATTAATCGATAAACAATATATGTACTTTGCTTATCAATGTTTTGAACATAATATTTGTGTTTTAAAATGATCAATAGTCTCCCCTGAATATTGATAAACTATCAAACTGTACGTGAATAATTTGAAATAACCTAAATAACATTAAATTGTGTTTAGTTGGAATTTAAGGCGGTACTAGTAATGTTCACGTACTGGTATACTTTGATACTAGTAAGGCAGGTAGTGCGTGGGTGATATGAGCTGTCAGCAAAGGGTTAAATGTAATTTTTTTAGTATCAGTGTTAGAAAAAAATGTTTTTGACGTACAGCACCAGCTATGAAGGATACGAAGGTAACTGATCCATTTAAAAAGCATTATTTTGTATTTATTTTTCCCAATACTACAAAAAATAGTTATTTATGTATATAAGGGTTTTAATTAGGACAAAAATATTAGATTTTTCTAATTCAAAATTTTAATTGTCTGTTTTCGATTTTTTTAAAGTTTTTTGTATCATTTTTTTTCAGAAATCGTTGACTCAGATGTTCACACATCGTACTCTCACAAACTGCGAGCCATTTTCTCCCTAGCAAAAAAGAAAGTGTGCAGCATATGGACGAAGAAAACCCTGTACAAAAGATTTCCAATCTTGCAATGGTTACCCCTGTATAATTCGGATTGTACGGTAGGTAAGTAATCACACAGCTCCAAAATAGTTTTACTTCAGTTAAATAGTACCGTACGATCGAAAAAAAACTGATGGTTTGTTTACATTTCGCTTGTATACCGGGTGCGTCTCAAAAGTGTCTCACCCCTATAACTTTTTTTATTTTTATTTTTTGATAAAAAAGCGAGATTTGGTATGTTAGTATATGACATAAATTAGGATTGATTGACGTATTCGTATTCAATTGTTATCGGTCGCTTTCTGTTTCATCGAAAATGACTACAACTTTTCTTTTTTAATGGCAATCTCAGTTTTTTTACTTTATTCGATAGAATGACATATCACATGTCAACTTTTGACATTTTCGCATATGGTTTATTTGAAATTGTAAACATGCGGTTCATACCGACATTTTGACTCGAAATATCAAGTGTGTTGTGTCAAATTATTCGTAAAAAATGCATTTCCCCAATGTACTAATAAACCAACCTTGTTCCATTTGAAAAAATTGAGATAGGATTAAAAATAATACGATTTGAGCATCTTTTAACCGGCCAGGAAAAGACATAAAAAACATTAGACGATCGAATCTATTTTTCCAAGGCTCCTTGATTAAACACTAGTGTTTTTAACACATCCATGGCACTCAAGTTTAAAGCACAGTTTTTTTTAAGCAAGAACGTCAAAAGTTGACATATGATATGTCATTCTATTCAGAGTGTTATTTTCTATCGAATAAAGTAAAAAAATACCGACGATGTGATTTGAAAATCAAAAGTTGTAGTAATTTCCGGTGAAACAGGAAGTGACCGAAAACAATTTAATACGTCAATCAATCCTAATTTATGTCACATACTAACAAACCAAATCTTGATTTTTTTATCTAAAAATATTAAAAAATTTATAGGGGTGAGCCACTTTTGAGATGCACCCAGTATGTTGGACCAAAACATATCAATGTATGTAATAAGACTGACAATATTATTTGTATAATGTTTTGTATTATCTTTTGTTTGTTTGTTTGTGTACCTTGTTTTTTTTACTTTGTTTGTTAGTTTACCTTTGTCCACAAATTGAAAAATTTTTTGACAATAAAAGCATTTATTTATTTATTTATTTATGCTTTTACAATAAATATTACATACGATACTTTTTGACTTTTAGGTGATCTTCTGGCCGGTTTCACAGTAGGCCTCACGGTTATCCCCCAAGCTCTGGCCTACGCCAGTATAGCAGGCCTACCTCCCCAGTACGGCTTATACGGTTCATTTCTGGGATGTTTCGTTTACATCTTGCTGGGAAGTTGCAAGGACGTCCCAGTCGGACCTACAGCAGTCGCCGCCTTAATGACGTTTCAAGCTGTCAACGGCAGAGGCGTTGAACACGCTGTATTGTTGTGTTTTTTGTCGGGAGTCATACAACTCCTGATGGGATTCTTTGGATTAGGTAGCAAACCGAGAGACTTTAAAAAAATTAAAAAAAATTACTGATTTTTTTCGTTATTAGGTTTTTTGATAGATTTTGTTTCTGGCCCTGTGTCTTCCGGATTTACGTCTGCCGCGGCCTTGATTATTGTGACGTCACAAGTGAAGGACTTGCTTGGTATAAGTGCATCGGGAAATACCTTTGTAGATACATGGAAAAGTATATTTAAGGATATCCACAATATCAGGATGTGGGACACGGTTCTAGGTGTTGGATGTATCATTATCTTGCTACTTTTAAGGGTAAGCCTATAACTTAGTAAGTTAAAATGGCTTTGTAGAGGGTGTCTGTTAAATAAGTGGTAGTATATTTGATATTATGAGAGATATACAGGGGTTGTTCACCCCATACGACACGGAGTATTGTAGCTAAACGGCTAGATTTTTACAAATTGTAAGTTTTGGGTTCGTTGAAGGACTATTAGAGCTACAATTTAAAAATATTTTTACAAGATACAGAGTGTCCCAAATAAATAAAAAATATCAAAGTTGTATTTTTCTAAATGGAACACCCTATATATTATTACATTTTTAGTCTCTACGATTAAAATGAAGGTAAAGGTATATTTGATTAAGGTTTATTACACTTAAACCTTACCGTTTTTGAAATATCTTCAATTTTGTGAAATTGCACTATAAATTTTAAGGCTTTATTTCTCCGAGGGTATCAAAGTTTTTAATACTAAATATTTACTGAAATTTATTTATTGATCAGTTATTGTATTGCAATAATAAAAACTTTACTACCTTATACAGAGTGTCTAAAAATTTATTTTAAATAATTATTAGCTTTAAACGGCAATAACTTGTTTAATTTAAATGGAACACCCTGTATATTTTATGCGAATCAGATGCACAATTTAATTGTCTATCAAATTGTATTATACCATTTTTTACTTATTTTTACATTTTTTTGTAATTTAGAACTCATTTATCAATATACCCATGGAATACTGACATTTTAGATTATTTTTAAAGATGTACCAAATTTTTAAAGAGTACAGATACTAATATTGTCGATATAGTTCGTTTATTTCATTAAAAAAATAAAAAAAAACTGTTTAAATATTTATTAAAGAGGACCAATTAATATGATTCGAGTATTCAAACTACATTAACTGACTGTTTGCGTTGATTAATAATAATTGCTCCAAATACTAAAAAACTGAATTATGTATGTGTATTAGACAGTGTGGTAAAAAGTAACACCTTAAAAATTATATTTAATTTGTTGACAAATGCTTATTTATAACAACAGAGACGTTCATTTTCATAACTTATTATTATATTGATTTCTGATTCAAATCCACATTTATTTAGAATAATTTATTAACGAACACAATTAAGTATGTAGTTAATTAGTATTTGGGCGGAAATACTGGTGGTATATTTAATTAATGGTATACTCTTTTATCAAGATTTAGATAGTTTTCTTTTAGCATACAAATGGGCTAGTAATATTATCGTTTTAGTAAAAACGATAATATTACATATTATCTGTACATTTTGTACATTTGTTGTTATAAAAACAATCTAAAATGTCAATATTCCATGGGTATATTGATAAATGAGGTCTAAATTATAAGAAAATGCATTTTCTACGAAAACTTGAAGGTATAGGTAAGAAATGGTATAATACAATTTGATAGACAGTTAAATTGTGCATTTGATTCTCATAAAATATACAGGGTGTTCTATTTAAAGTAAATAAGTTATTGCCGTTTAAAGCTAGTAATTATATAAAATACATTTTTAGACACTCTGTATAAGGTAGTATAATTTTTATTATTGCAACACAATAACTGATCAATAAATAAACTTCAGTAAATATTTAGTATTAAAAACTTTGATATCCTCGGAGAAATGAAGCCTTAAAAGTTATACTGCAATTTCGTAAAATTGAAAATATTTCAAAAACGGTAAGGTTTAAGTGTAATAAACCTTAATCAAATTTACCTTTATTTTAATCGTAGAAACTAAAAATGCAATAATATACAGGGCGTTCCATTTAAAAAAATACAACTTTGATATTTTTTATTTATTTGGGATACTCTGTATCTTGTAAAAATATTTTTAAATTGTAGCTCTAATAGTCCTTCAACGAACCCAAAACTTACAATTTGTAAAAATCTAATCGTTTAGCTACAATACTCCGTGTCGTATGTGGTGAACAACCCTGTACATATACTTGCGCTTATTTCAATGACACCCTGTATCTTTGTCAAAATATTTAAATCAGTGACAACTGTTATTTTTATTTTAATGTAATCAGAATTTTTTCAAACAAAATAACTTCATAAGTTCATACCAAATAAACTTTCAAGTCACGTGATTAAACTTGGCAAAAATAAATTAATTATAAATATATAAGCAGAACCCACCGAGCGTAACAGTTAGATTTCCGCCACTAGAGTAGTAGGAACAAAGAACTTGAAGGAATTGGACCGTTGTCTCTGTTCATACTATCTTTACATTAATGATTATGATCTTGTATTAATGATTCCTGAAAATTCGACTTTTCAAGTGGAGAAAGATACGTCAAAATATTTTTCAATACCGTTTGATAGACAGTTATCCCGTGGTCTAAAAGGAATTTTTAAGAATGTCAATTATAAACTTGTGTATAGTGCTAATAATAAATTACAACAATTATTAGGTAATCCAAAGGATAAAACACCTCTACTGGAAAGGTCGGGTATTTATGAAATTTCTTGTAAAGATTGTAATCAGAAATATGTTGGGCAAACTAGAAGATCAATATTAACTAGATTTAAAAAACATTTAGCTCAGATAAGATATGGTAGACCGGATAAATCTTGCGTTGCCGAACGTATTGTTGATAAAGAACATTGTATAGATCTTAATAACTTGAAATGAATTAAACAAGTCTCAAATTACAGGCAATTAGATGCATATGAAAGCATCAGAATTAATAAATGTAAAGATAGTATGAACAGAGACAACGGTCCAATTCCTTCAAGTTCTTTGTTCCTACTACTCTAGTGGCGGAAATCTAACTGTTACGCTTGGTGGGTTCTGACTCGGTTGGCTAGATCTTGCCACGCCCACTCTGTGCCTTAGCGAGTATACAAACGCTCCTATTGTAGATTGTATTTTAGTTTATAAGCATCTGCTGATGATGCTAACAGGGTTAGCAAAACGCGCGTCCAGTGTAAAAGTAAAAGTGTTTTGGTGTATTGTGGTGATTTAGTGTTTTTTTTATTTTACTAGTCAATTAAAACTGAAATTTCTTTATTTTATTTTTAGATAGTGGCTCAAATAAATTTTGGAGACAAATCCGAGACCAGCAAAACCAACAAAATCATCAACAAGTCCTTGTGGGTGTTCGGTACATCCAGAAACGCCATCCTAGTCATAGTTTCCGGCATTGTCGGGTACTTCTTCTGCACCAGCGGTAATGTAACCTTAAAAAACCCATAAAAACAATCAAAACTATAAAAACCCATATATTTTCAGGAGAACCACCCTTTAAAGTGATTGGTGAAGTACCTCAAGGTTTGCCAGACTTCCAACTTCCTCCTTTTGGGTACTCGAAGGAGAATAATGGTACCATCACTGAAGTTGGGATCATGGAGATGATAAGTAACCTAGGAAGTGGGATTATTGTAGTTCCTTTGGTGGGATTTCTGGAAAATATAGCTATTTGCAAAGCTTTTTGTAAGTAAATTGTTCAGACAAAATAAAAAATAAAAATTAATTAATTAATAAAAATTTCTGATATTCGAATATCTATTAGTTGTGATTATGATCACTAACCGTTTGTATGTATATATTGAGTCAAAACAAATCAATACAATGATGATTAATCTAGACCTTTAAGAATAAGAAGAAAGAAAAAGAAAAAAAAGAGAAAAAAAAAAGAAAAGAAAAGAAAAGGAAAATAAAAAATTAGAAAAAAATAAGAAAAAGAGTAGATTAATCCTTTTTATGATTAATTCACTTTCTATTCATGTTTATGTTATTATATGAGTTTCTTTTTGTATACAACTGTCTAAAAATTAATACTTTTTCGCATTCCTATTGAAAAAAATATATTTCTTTATATCATATTTTCTTATTTCAGCTAATGGAAAACCTATCGACGCAACTCAAGAACTCCTAGCCATCGGAGCATCAAACGTATTGAACTCCTTCGTTCAAAGCTTCCCAGGAACAGGTTCTTTATCCAGATCAGCTGTGAACAATGCCAGCGGAGTTCGCACGCCACTGGGAGGTCTATATACAGGGCTTCTAGTAATACTAGCCCTACTTTTCTTGACGCCATACTTCTTTTTCATCCCCAAAAGCACCCTGGCAGCTATTATAATTGCTGCAGTCATCTTCATGGTTGAAGTGAAAGTTGTGAAGCCTCTTTGGAGGTCTAAAAGTAAGATTTTTAGTTATTTTGGAAAGTATTTAGGATTAATTTTGTTGTTTTTAGAAAGCGATTTCTTCCTGGCTATTGTGACGTTTGTTTCCTGTCTTATTTTGCCTTTGGAGCAGGGAATTTTGGTTGGTATTGGTATTAACTTGGTGTATATCCTGTATCATGCAGCCAGACCGAAGATTAGTGTTGAAAAACTGACGGTAAGTGATTTTCTACATTTTCTAGTTAGATCGTTTGTTTTTTTATTACCTTAGTCACCCTGTATCTCTTACCGTTGCTAGATTTCAGTGGTGAGAGTGGAATTTCAAACACCCGGTATTTTCAAGTGACGTGTTAACGTTTCTTTTATATATTTTTTTTCAGGAAAGGTATACAAAAAACTGTATGTTGGGTACGGTCGTGGAAAAAAAAAATATTTTTTTTGAATAATAATGATAGTAATATAGAGCTTAGGCCTGCAAATTAACAGTAAATGATTTTTAAACTCCAACTAAAAATATTTTAAAAGTGAAAATATATGATAAAAACTATAAATTAATATGATTGTTAATTATTAATTTTCATTACATTGTTTTTTACCTTTAAACTTAGACAGACAAAAATATTTTATTAAATAACTAATAAATAATATTAATAATAGTTTATGCTACTGACTAATAACCGCTTTGGTGTAATTTTCAATGCCAAATAAGATCCTTTCGTTTTTGATCGTATTAAATGTATTTCTTTATACAGGGTGAGTCTTAAATAATTGCAAATATTTTTAGGGGTGGCATATTTCAAATTTCAACCCCAGAAACACGTCTATATGAGGTTTTTTTCGCAAAAAAAAGATGTTGGAAATTGAGTATTTTTTTTTAAATTTTCCTGTATATTTTAGAAAACTTTTTAGAACTGCCTGTTCATCGCAAATTTTACCACGGTATAACTTTGAATAAGAAGACTAAGGAAGGAGCATAATGCTATCCATGTATTCATGCATGGTGGGCGGAAAAGCCACCATAAAAGCTCTCTAGGGTGGGGATCCTTGACAGTTCTGTTTGACGATTCATTTGACACATTTGAATTTGATTTGAAATTTTGTGGATTTGTCAGTCTTTACGGAGCTTATTTTATGTTATTTATTATTTATTCTACTACTGATAGTTGTATAAAGGTAGTAAATCTAGATGGAAATTGTGGCAGAACTTAAATTAACAGTGACACTATCGCGGTTTATCGAAAAAGACTCTAAAATAGTTGGTTGTGTAGCGTGCGGTAGATCTCGGCAAAAATTGAGTGAAATAATGGAACAACTTTTCGCTAGTAAGTGACTATATAATATACATACGTGTAGTAAACCGATCATTTATGAAATTCACTTAAATTAACTAAATTATATATTTTTCTTGCATTTTAGCTTTTATTTATTACTTCAAGATTAGATGTCAAAGATTAGATGTCAAAGAATTTAGATACGTTAATTTGACTTACCTGCTTCAGTAGCGTATCGGATGTTTGTGTTAATAAATACTTATTATAACTTATCTATTTTTATTAGAATTATATATTTTTATAACAATTTTAATAACTACCAACATTTATTCACAACGTAAAATAAAACAACAAATTATTGAGTCTACCCCACGTCTACCCTACATCACAGTTTTACATTTTTTAAATAAAATTAGAACGACACTGATAAACCGTAATTTAAGTCGGCCATATTTGAGGCCCATCGCGGTGTACCTAAGATTTTTGATATGCTCCTTCCTTAGTCTTCTTATTCAAAGCGGTATAATTTCTTAATTTATGATGTTACCCATGGTTACGGCACTAAAAGGGATGAAAATACAGAAAAAATCCGGTGGCTCTCAAAATTTTTTCTCTATAAAAATTAATCAATTTTTTTTAAATTTTATATAAACTTCAATAGTCGGTTATTTTGGACTTTTCTGAAAAACGGTAAAGAGAAAATATGTTGCTTTTAAGACCTACCCTGTATATTTATCCATATAGTAACAACGTTAAAAATTTGTACAATAAATTCTTTAACTTTTTTATGACAATTTAAATTATTTAAAAAATCTAACATGTTGCCAGATTGTGCAAAAATTCTTTAAACAGGCAATTTATCCAAAAAATTATTAAATCCTGTATTATTTATCATAAACTCATGTAGGTAACAGCGTTGACAGTTTGTACAATAAATCCTTCAACTTTTTATGACAATTTAAATAATTTTAAAAATCTAACATGTTGCCAGATTGTGCAAAAATTCTTTAAACACATTTTTTCTCTTTTTTTTAGTCTGTCGGAGGTGCCGAATATCTCCTGTTGACACCTGACAGATGCCTCATCTTTCCTTCAACTGATTACGTCAGAAACCTGGTAACCAAGCACTCGATACGTCAAGGGATACCCGTCATAATCGATTGTTCTCATATTTATGGAGCTGACTATACTGCTGCTCTGGTTATAGAGACCCTAACCAAAGATTTCGCTACTAGAGATCAGCCTTTACTGTTTTACAATTTGAAACCTTCAGTGAGTTCGGTGTTTGAAGGGTTGAGTCCTAAAGATTTCGTGGTGTTCTACGATTATAGTGAGGTTGATGAATTGTTGAAGAACAGGAAGTGTATCAAGAAACAAATGGAAATCATGGAAGTGTAATAGAAGAAGTTTTTGGAGAATTTATATATCTTAGTTCCTACTAGGATTAAAAAGGAACAAATATAATTTTTAATAAGAACACTTAAATTATGTGCATTTAACAAAGCAGGGTCTATATCTATAAAGTGTTTGGTTGTTTAAGTAAATTATTCTTGGCACTGTTTCATTTTCACTCTGTATATATAATTTGATACTATAAATACGGATTTGAAAAAACCATGAAAGGTTATATTTCACGAAAATATTTTAATTTCTAGAAAAAAAAAACAATAAAAATCAATATAAAAATGTTTCAGAAGCATTGGTGACTGCACTGTGATACTCAAACGGTCATTACTTGTAATATTATTTAATATCTAAGGTTAAGTTTATTTCCCTTGTCTCTGGCTATATACAGGGTGTCTGCAATATTGCCGTAACATGCGTGTTACTTAAAAAATAACCCGGTTATTTCGAATTTATTTTAAAATTGGTAAATATCTTTTTTGTCAGATCTATTTGAGAAACACCCTGTATAAAATCTATAACTATCCTTATATTATACATACACACACCGGAAAAGTCTAGGGATATTACAATTTTATCCAGCCATCATCAGTAATTTTATTATTTGCATTTCTGATATAATAAAATTAAAATAAACAAATAGTTTACAGTATTGGAAATAAAAATGCGAAATTTACCGAATTTTTCAAATTTACCTTGATTTTTATTGAACTCAAAAAAATATACACATTTTTTTTTATTCTAAACTGTGAATTAAAAAAAAAGATAAAACGATTTTTACTTAATAAAGGGTATGGCCTCCTCTACTGTTCATTACAGCCCTACATCGTCTCTCCATGCTCCTGATCAGGTTGTCGATCTCTTCTTGAGGTACAGCCTGCCACGCTGCATTCACGGCCCGAACCAGATCCCTACGAGTTTCACGAGGTATACCCATTCTCAAAATTCTTCTTTGGACCGCGTCCCATACGTGCTCGATGGGGTTGAGGTCAGAAGATTGTGCCGGCCAGGGTAAGATGTTTAATTGATGAGCATTGATAAACTCACTTACCACTCTGGCTGTATGAGGCCGTGCATTGTCATGCATGAGAATGAAGTTTCTCCCAAAATCATTGGCATATGGTAACACGACAGGCTCAAGAATTAAATCACGATATGTGATTCCTGTTAGAAACCTTTCAAGAAAAACGAGATCGGTTTTTCGGCCTAACTGGACTCCTCCCCAGACCATAACTGTTCCACCTTGATAAGGGTGCACTTCCTGAACATGATCCAACCGAATAAAATTTCCCGGTTCTCTCCATGACTCATCCGTGAAGAGAACATTGGCACATTGTTCATTCGACCACTGAACATGATCTTGAGCCCACAAATATAGTACCTCTCGATTTCCTCTCGTTAAGGGTTGAGCTCTCCAGGGGCGTATGCTTCTTAAGTTGACCTCTCTTAATCTATTGCGAACAGTGTCAGGACTAACGGTTACATTATGTGTTTCCTGGAGAACTAAACTAAGCTCTGGTGCTGTAAGAGTCGGTCGGCGTCGAGCATTTAATTGTAAAAAATGATCTTGCTGAGGGGTAGTAATGCGATGTCGCCCTGTGTGCCTTTCAGCAACATCACCACTTTCACGGTAGCGTACACTTAATCGCGATATTACACTTTGCGTTGTATTTAATGCTCTAGCTACGTCGATTTGGCGCATTCCAGCTTCGAGCATACCCATGGCCCTTAGCATTACGTTTCTGTTAAGATGTCTACGCTCCATAATGTCGTTTAATACTAAACAGAGTTATTTGAATGAATTCTGGCCAGTTATCATAAAAACATAGCCAGTACAGGTTAAATTCGAACAATTGACGCTAGGTGCCTTTTATACATTTGACAAAAAATGCACAAACACTTCTGCAAATATCCCAAATTTAGAAATAACTAGAGTGACTACTTCGTTTCAATCGAAGTAGAAAGAATCGACCTACAAATATGTGGTTGTTTATTCAAAATATTTATTTTTAACTTTAATAAAATGATATCCCTAGATTTTTCCGGTGTGTGTATTTATACACATATTATTAATTATTATACTACTGTTTTACAAAATGTCAGTATAACAATTTTGAGAGTGATATTTAGCTTTTAAAAGTGAACAAACTTATTTAGTTTTAAGGTTTCTTGGATTCTTACTGTATATAATGAGATGAATGATATTTTTTAACAAATTTTGTTTGTATTATTTATAATAAAGCTTAGTTTTGTATATTTTATTCTGAGTACGTTGAGATATATTATCTTGAAAATTATGTGTGAGTAAATCATAAAGTTGTTAAAGTTTAAAATTGAAGTGTTTTTTTTATTTAATTTTTTTATGTATAGTTCTAGTATGATTACAAAGGTTTTTTGTCTCTGCCAAAAGTTCTTTTTGTGTTAAATCATATCCATTTAAAAAAAACGGCGTCAAAGACGGCTGTGAGATAACAATCGATGGTGATTTTGGCGAGGTCAGTCTCTAGGCCTCGTTTACTAAAAATTGACATCAATCTTGTCAAAATTAACTCTAAAACTGAATGAGAGAAAAACGGTTGCTCTTGACAGACAACATCCAAAAAATGACAGTAAATACAATTTACCTGTGTATTAAAATGACGGACATCTGTCACTCTCATGTAGTCTCTCATTGGACAGAATTTACACAAATTTTATAGAATCGATGTGTTCTATAGTTATTTAAAATCTATACTAATATATAAAATCCTTAAGTGACTGACATACTGATTAATCACGATCCTGCTCAAACCACTCAACGTAAGAAGCTCAATTTTGGCATACAGGTTGATTCTAGGGTGTAGAGGTTCGATAAGAAGGGATTTTTTGGAAATTCCAGTTCCAAGAGACCAACCTCTCCAATATTCCAACCTTCCAACCTCTCAAATATTACCAAGTTATATCATAATATCGCCATATTGTTTTCTCTCATGCTGAAATAAATGTGAGAAAATTTTATCTTACGACTTATATACAGGGTGTTTCAAAACAAATGCGAAACATTTCAGGGGGTGATTCCTTGTTCAAAATAAAGGGTAGTTTGCTTCATAAACGTTGGGTCAAAAGTCAACCATTAGGGAGATATTGCGGTACAAAGATGGCGGAAAAATAATGTTTTAATTTTTTATCTTGAAAACGAAAATAGATAGACTAATAAAATTTTATGGAAGCATTACTGTTATGAAAACACACTTTCTGGTAATTTTTTCACTTTTTTAAAATGAGTGGAAGGGGTTGAAATAAACTACCCCTATCATTCTTGTTAACGAAATTTAAAGAAAAATCTTATCAAACACATGCAAAAAAATTAATTTGGATAGTTTAGTTTGTTTAGAAAGTTTCTTATCTCTTGTATTTTTTTGATAAAACTGACCGATTTGAAATTAAAAAATAAAATGTAAAGCATTACATGTCAAGACAAAATTTTTCTGATAAAGAATCTAGTGGGCTGCTGTAATTTTTTTAGGAAAAAATCTAGTCGGCCGCTGTTACTTTTTAGGATGTTCCTAATATTATTTTATTTGACATTACTCTACTGCAATACGTTATTATCTAGATGATTATTATTATTGTTATTATCACTAGATTCTTAATCTAAAAATGTTTTTTTGTCCTGACATGTAATGCTTTATATTTTATTTTTTAATTTCCAATCGGTGAGTTTTATCAAAAAAATCACAAGGGGTAAAATAGTTTCTAAACAAACTAAGCTATCCAAATTAAGGCATTTGCATGTGTTTGATAAGATTTTTCTTTAAATTTCGTTAACAAGAATGATAGGGGTAGTTTATTTCAACCCCTTCCACGCATTTTAAAAAAGTAAAAAATTACCTGAAAGTGTGTTTTCATAACAGTAATGCTTCCATAAAATTTCATTAGTCTATCTCTTTTCGTTTTCAAGATAAAAAATAAAAACATTATTTTTCCGCCATTTTTGTACCGCGATATCTCCCTAATGGTTGACTTTTGACCCAACGTTTATAAAGCAAACTACCCTTTATTTTGAACAAGGAATCGCCCCCTAAAGTTTTTCGCATTTGTTTTGAAACACCCTGTATATAATAATTCGACGCGAACGAAGTCGCTGGTGCACGCTAGTTAAGCTATAAAGAAATATTCTTGGTTGCATACCGATCAAAACTAAATCTTGCAAATACTAGATTGTAGCAGCACGTAGCAGGTTGTTGTCCCACTTATGGACAACATATAATTTCGTTTGTCCTCGCCAAAACAAGTTGTTATAATAATTTAACACAAAATTGATGCGCTGTAAAAATAAATGTATTAAAACAACCAAAAAATGTTATTTTTTCTTGTGTTTTTCGTGATTGTTTATGTATTTTATCAAACGTTTATTAAACCTGCTAAATACTGGAACAATAAAGGCGTAGAACACATCAATTTGTGGCGTAGATTTTTGTCTGTATTTTTGTCAAAAAAATCTTTTTTGGTACTCATCAGAGAGGCTTATAATTTTTATCCAAACACTAGGTAAGTAAAAAAATCTAAGAAAACTATTTTTTGCTTCTATTAATTTTAAAAATGTCAGTAGGATGAACAAAGCAAACTATACCAGGGAGTATCGAAAATTAAATAAGGATTTAAAAAATATATCTTATTTTATTTTCATTTTTTTTATTCTAATACCCTTTTCGGGGTAACTTGAATACTGGGTAACCCATTTTCGAGGTAACTAGGTTTAAAACATCTAATAACACACTTACTAGTCAGTTTTCAAGATAAAAAATACAAGGAAATATATTTTTTAGGTAAACCGAAGTCAGGGTAATAGTTTTTCAGGGCAACCATATTTTTAGGGTAATTCATATTGAGGGTAACTGGATTTTTAAGAGACATAACTAATAAAAATTGAACACTGTATAAATTTAAAATGTTCTTATAGTATTCAATTTCAAGGTAATCCTTTTCGGGGTAACTTGAATTTGAGGTAACCTATTTTCGAGGTAATTAGAGTGTTTAATATCAAAATGTCGTTAGGATAAACAAAGCAAAATATACCAGGGTTTACCTAAAATTAAATAAGGAATAAATATACCCTTTTCAGGGTAATTTTAATTCGGGGTAAGCCATTTTCAAGGTAACTATAGGCTAAAAATTTTAAGTAAAACACTTACTAGTCAGTTTTCAAGATAAAAAATGGAAAGTATTACACTTTTTTGGTAAACCAAATTCAGGGTAACAGTTTTTCGGGGTAACCATATTTTAGGGTAACCTATAATCAAGGTGACTCAATTTTTAAGATATAACTAAAAAAATAAACACTGTATAAAATATAAAATTTTCTTAGAGTATTCAATTTGAAGGTAACCGTTTTCGGGGTAACTTGAATTTGAGGTAACCGATTTTCGAGGTAATTAGAGTGTTTAATAACAAAATGTCGTTAGGATAAACAAAGAAAAATATACCAGGGTTTATCTAAAATTAAATAAGAAATTAAAATAAAAAAATACATCCTATTTTACATACTATTTTCAGTTTTTGTTATAATACCCTTATCAGGGTAATTTGAATTTGGGGTAACCCATTTTCGAGGTAATTAGGATAAAAATGTCAAGTAACACATTTGTTAGTCAGTTTTCGAGGTAAAAAATAGAAGGTAATACATTTTTTAGGTAAACCAAATTCAGGGTAATATTTTTTCGGGGTAATCATATTTTTAGGGTAATGTATATTCAATTTTTAAAAGACATAAAACTATCATAAAATGCTAGACTTGGCTATATTTTATATTAATCTACTTCTGTTTTTATAATCTGATAATTTTATGATCATTTTTTTTTCTAGATACTATGGTAGCTTCCAGTTCTTGAAACCTTCACTCATGGTGACGGATTTGGAATTAATAAAAAAAATCACCACCAAAGATTTTGATCATTTTCATGATCATCCTAGCATCAGTAACAAAAATGTCGATACGGTTTTAACACAAAACCTATTTTCATTAGAAGGTAAGACAAAAGATTTTGACGCTCTCAAAGGAATCAAAATTTACAGGGTATTTTTCGTTGCCTTAAAACTATGGTTTTTAATAAATTAACATAAGAATTACTTAAATTTTAGGTCACAAATGGAGAGAAATGCGATCAACCCTAAGCCCAGCGTTCACAAGCAGCAAAATGAGGCACATGTTCGATCTGATGGTTCAGGTGGCTCAAAATTTCACGAATTTCTACATAGAGCAATACAAAGACTCTGCCGTTTTGGAGTTAGAGATGAAAGAAGCGTGTTCCAGATACACCAATGACGTGATAGCGAGTTGTGCCTTTGGAATCGAAGTCAATTCGTTGGAAGATAGAGAAAATGAGTTTTTCCGAATGGGAAATGTTTTTGCCGCGAGTTTCAGAGGAAGGAATGCTCTTAGAGGATTGATTCTTGGATTCTTTCCATTGTTGGGACAAGTAAAATATTTACATTATTATTGCACCATGCGATCGAAAAAAAAACGGCGTCAGAGGTGGCTTGGAATTGAAGATCGCTGTTATAAATTTTCAAGCCAACTGAAGGCCGTTTTTTTCAATCATACCGTAGTTTACTACATGACTTAGGTATAGAAGGGTACATTGAGAGTGAATTTTTGGAACTACATAATATGATGAAGTAAAAATATACACAATTAACTATTAACCACATTTTTTTATTGTAGATCTTGAAAATTTCAATATTTCCCCAGTTTGTGACGGATTTTTTCAAGAAAATAGTCAGTGACACCATAGCTTTCAGAGAAAAAAATCATATAACAAGACCTGACATGATCCATTTACTGATGCAAGCTAGGACGGGTGAATTACAGGAAGAAAATACAAATGAAAATGCAGGATTCGCTACTGTAGAAGAAATAGAGAAAGAAAAAAGATTTTCTCAAAAAGTAGAACTTGCAGACAATGTTATTGCAGCTCAAGCGTAAGTAAAGCATCATTTTTTTCCCTAACAAGGGGCCGTCCTCTGCCGGAAACACTGCGACCTGTGCGGCCTATTGTGTTTGTTCCCCTTCTATATCTGCACCCATTCTCCTATCCCTGTGCCCTGCACTAGTTTATGCAGGTCCTTGATAGGATGGGAGCATAGTTCCTCCGGTTCTAGAATTTTTTTTTTTAGAATTTAGAATGAGTGGGAGGGGGGTTAATCACTTCGACCTTACAGATCCATTGTGTCCCCCTTTCTTGAATCATAACTCATCATACAGTCCCAGGGCTTTGACAAAAGCCAATATCTGGCACGGTCTTATAGAGGGTAGTTCTCCATCTCCAATATCAGTCGTACCAAAATTCATGGCACGAATGGTTGTCGTCTCGGCGCACTCAGTGATGAGGTGTACTGGTTGGTCCCCATCTTCCCCACAGAATCTGCATTCGCCGTTTCTTCTTAGTTTCAATCTACTGAGGTGTTCATTGAGGAGACAGTGTCCTGTTAAAAACCCCGTGACAATCCGAAGATTGTTCTTACTCAGACCCAGGAAGATCTGTGATTTTTCTTGATCATAAGCCCTCAGAAACTTCTTCGAGTGTCTGAGACCATTGCAAGATTTCCATTCCAGGTTGCGGATGGAATCTTCCAAGTTCTTGAGTTCCGCCTTGAGTTGGTTACCACTTGGAAAGCAGAACGGTTCTGGTCCAGTTAGTGGAGTGTTCGCTGCCCTTTCCTAGCTAGATTATTTGCTTTTTTCATTGCCTTCTATCCCTTGGTGAGCAGGCACCCAGTGTAGGAGGACTTTGTTTCTTTTGCCTAATTTATTCAGCTTCTTCTATGCATTCTTTGACCAATTTCGAATTGATTGATATTGAGTTGATCGCCTTTAACGTTGCTTGACTATCAGATAAGATGGCTATTTCTTTGTTTCCGATAGTTCCTATCTAAGATAAGTTGTATGCATCTTTCGATAGCGTAGATTTCTGCCTGTAGGATACTAGGGTAAGTGCCGATTGGTTCGGAGTATTTAGCTCTCGGCCCAAACACTCCGATCCCTGTTCCCGTATTGGTTTTGGAAGCATCAGTATACCAAGTTATGGTATGGTCTTTTAACTGCTGGGCAAGCGTTTCGCTCTTCCAATCCTTTTTATTGCTCAATACTACATGGAGATGTTTCTCAAAGTTGTACGTTCTTAGCATATCGTCCACTGGGAGTTGCAGGAGTGGTATTTCCTTTATGAGGGTGTTCCAAGCCCCTGATCTGACAATTCTCCCAGTACTAATTCCGTTAGTGACCATTCTAATCATTGTCGCATTGGCATATCTACCAATGACAATGTGCAGTGGTGTTAGATCTAGAATGACCTCCATTGCTGCTGTTGGACAGGTTCTCATGGCTCCTGTGATGCAAACACATGCTAGTCTCTGGACTTTGCATAGGTTTAGCCTTGCCGTCCGTTGCTCTAGTTTTGTGCACCAACTGCTCCATAAGTAATCATGGTCCTCCGGTTCTAGCCTAGCTTTCCCAAATAAAGAGTGTCGCTTGCGATCCAGAGCCTCGCAATGACATATTATGTGTTCCGCTGTTTCAGGATCTTTATCGCAGAGTCTGTAGCAAAGACTTCCTTGATACAGGTTGAGCTTGTTCAGATAACACTTGACAGCCATGTGTCCTGTCAAGAGGCCTGTTATTGTAATCCGCACTTTATTCCTGCTAAGCATTAGCAGTTCTTTTGCGGTTTTAGAGCTAGGTCCATGGATAAAAGCCTTGCTGTGCCTGTGCCCCTGTCTGTTTCTCCAGTGGACTTTGTGCTTTTCCTTGATCCAGAGTTTTAGTGCACTACGGGCCATACATTTGGGTATTCCCAGTACTGGCTCTGGACCAAGATAGGATGCCGATGATCCCTGCCTAGCTAGCTCATCGGCTTTTTCGTTGCCTTGGATGCCGCTGTGGCCCGGCACCCAGAATAATTTAATTCGGTTCCTTCGTGCCAGAGCTCCCAGTTCACCCAGGCATTCCCAGACGAGTCTCGACGATACCTTTGGGTTCACAAGCGCCCCAAGTGCCGCCTGACTGTCTGAGCATATATTGATGAGCTTACCTGAATAAGCTCTTCTATTGTTTTCTCTTGCACATTGTAGAATGGTTAAGATTTCTGTCTGGAATACGGTTGAGTGTTTACCCAAGGAAAAGGATAAGCTTGCCCTTGGTCTTTCCCCAAATACTCCAGCTCCTGTTCCTTCAGCGGTCTTTGACCCGTCTGTATACCAGGTTAGTCCCTTAGGTTAGTCCATCCTGAAGAAATGTTATATCTGTCCACATTCCTCGATCCATTTTGTTCACCTCGAATGGTTTGTGGTAGTGATAAAGAGGGGTCATTTGGTCCGATCTCATTTGGAGTAGAGATCCTCCGATAGAATCTCCCATCTTTAAGTGTCCTGTTTCTGTCCTATTTCCCGGGGACAAGACACTTTGTTGTCGATAGAGTCCCATTCTTGCCTCCGCCTGGATCACTATGTGAAGAGGCGGAAGGTCCAGAAGCGCCTCCATTGATGCAGTGCGCGTTGATTTCATTGCCCCTTTATGCTCAGACAAGCAAGTCTTTGCACCTTACTAAGACTGAGCATTGTTGTTTGTTGCATTACCTTAGGCCACCATACCAAGGATGCATATGTTACTGAAGGCCTCACCATTCCAGTGTACAGCCAGTGCACCATCTGTGGTCTGAGGCCCCAGATTTTTCCATGAAGTGGTCTGACTACCGCTAGTGTAGTCACCGCCCTCCTTGTGACATTTTCCAAATGTCGGTTACAAGTCAGTTTGGTATCCAGCATGATTCCTAGATACTTGACCTCCCCCGAGAGAGGAATCTCATCACCGCAGAGTCTTAGAAGTCCTAGTCCCTCCAAAATTCTTCGTTTGGTGAAGGGGATTATTACGGTCTTTGTAGGACTGATATTTAGTCCCTCCCGTGTCACCCATGATTCCACAATCTTCAGGGCCCTTTGCATTCGCTCCCTTACTGTTGTGTTAAACTTACCTCTGACTAACACGACCAAATCGTCTGCGTATCCATATCAAGCAGTCCGTCCATAACGAGATTCCACAGCAGAGGGGAGAGAACTCCACCCTGCGGGCATCCTCCCGCCACCCGGACGGCAACAGTCTCATTTAGTAGGGTGGTATATGCCACTCGACTTTTGAGCATGCAGTCTATCCACCTGCAGCAGGTCTCCTCTAATCCGAGGTTCCTTGTAGCTCTCGTCAGTGACTGAAATGAGGTGTTATCAAACGCCCCTTCTATGTCGAGGAATGCCCCTTAAAAGCATCATTTACACTGTATTAATTTTTGACGTACGTTCAAAATGAATCACACAGAGTAAAATTATCAGTGACATCAACCTTATTTTCGTATTTTCATTCAATATGCTGTTTTATATCCTGCATACTGCCACTGTTCCCTATTTTATGCCTGTAATGCCGGGTCCAGACGAAGTAGACAGAAACATTCGTGTTTTACGACAAAATTGCGACAAATCCAATACATTTCTGATATATTTTTGTCTCATTTTTGTTTTGTTTCAAAATTCGGAGACTTTTCAATGTGCCGTCTCGAGTCGGTAAAGATCAAAGTGTTTATGTTTTGTTCGTATATTTTACGACAAATTGTTGGCACAGTGTGGATGGCGTGTGCTGCCAACAGTAGAGCAAACCAGTGAAATCACACGTGGTTAATAAAACTCATTCGCAACAACTAAACTTTTGATTTTGTTGCACTTTTGTCGTTGCGGTGTGGACGAATTTGCCTCAAGTTTGTCTTGCCAGAATTGCCCATTTTTTGTCGCAAATTTGTCTTGTTTTTGTCTCAAAATCGTTTTTACTTTTTGTTGACTTGATCTGGACCCGGCATAAGTAGATTCATGGCGAAATGAGTCTTCAATTTTTTTCGATTCAAAAAAAAATCTTCCAAGCACTTTTAGTGATTTGAATGAAATTTTGAGGATAAAAGTTACTATATTTGCTACAGATTTTAATGCTAAAAAAGGGTGGACAGATTTACCATTTTTTTATATTTTTTTTCTAGTTTGGCTTTTTTCTTTGCTGGATTTGAAACTTCAGCTACAGTTCTTAGTTTCATCTCCTACGAATTGGCTATCAAACCAGAAATTCAGAAGAAGCTTCATCAGGAAATAGACGAAACCTTGCTGAAAAATAGTGGAAAACTGGACTACGAGGCAGTTTTGAAGATGAAATACCTGGATCAAGTAATTTCTGAAGTTCTGAGATTGTATCCACCTGCGTTTGCAATCAGCAGAGTTTGTACAAAGGTTAGTAAGTCTCTTCATCTCAGAAAAATAAATAAATACGGATTAGCTCTAAAATATACAGGGTGCCCCAGAAATAAGTGCAAATATGTTAAGGGGTGGTAGATCTCGATAAAAGAAACATATTTTTTTTTATTTGCTAAAATTTTTTAAAACCACTGGATCTTTTCTGGATTTTCTTTCTTGTAAATTTAATCTAATACCTATGTTGCCATATTATCAAGAAATTATGTTTTTTAACTAAAAAATAAAAAATAATCCAAAAAATTTTTCAAAAAATTTCGAATTTTCAAAAATTTTTTTTTCGCGTGTTTCTGGGATTGAACTATATACTACCAGTTAAAATACTTGCACTTATTTCTGGGACACCCTATATAGAATGTATTTTAAGGGGTAAAAATACCTTACCTTACTTTATAAGACTGGTAAAGATTATAACCTACAATCTCTGACACAGCTTAAGTAAAAACCAGCTCGGACAGTGTAGCGTGCCGCTTTGATCTTTTTACGCTCGGATTTGCGATTCGAAAGAGGGGGAACACTAGAGCGGCGAGCTCTCTCGCCAAAACCAATAGCCGCTTAAGCGCCAGTCAGCCCAGTGATGTATTTAAAAAAAATTTTACACGTGACGTAAAAAATTATTCGACTGGTGCTAGAACATAATTTAGATACACGTTTTTTAAATTGTTGACTTTAAATAAATATGCATTCTCAAAGAAAAACATTTAAAAAACAAATTAATTAATTTATTTCTAGAAATAACAGCAAAATGAAATAGGTACATTGATTACTACTTATAGTTATTTACGAATGTTTCTAAATTAGGAGCTTTCGGTTTTTGTTTGCTACATTTAAGTTCTTATTAATATTCTTTAAGGTATAATAAATTCTAACTTTTGCGTATAATTTTAACAAAAAATACATTATAGGAAAATTTTGATTGATGGTTGAATTTAATTGTCTGAAATAATTTAACGAATTTACATAATATATTTTCATTTAAGAAAAGTTCTTCAAAATTGTTCTGAAAAATTTTATAAAAAAACTTTTTTAAAAACAAGTTTTTATTTAAATACACTAAAATGAATAAAATAAACTTTTTCTTTAGAACTTTTATTATGAACTTATAACGTCATTACACAATTTTAATATTATATAAAAGCTTGTCGCGAGATTTGAGTGTACAGTTGCACTCATAAAAATCTGGTACGACAACTTTATCTTGTAATTCCTGGTCTAGTGGTCTATCATAACATAAACTTTGAAAATGAGACAGGGTAGACACAGGTTTTAGTTAATTTACTTGTTTATCGATGTAGAGAAATCTCGCGACAAGCTTTTATATATCTAATATTAAAATTGTGTAATGACGTTCTAAATTCATAATAAAAGTTTTAAAGAAAAAGAGTTTATTTTATTCTTTTTAGTGTATTTAAATAAAATGACCGTCGGTCGCTTAATTCACTTAGCGCATCGTCGGAGTGGGGCGTTTTAAATTCGAGCGTGGGAAAAATTGGCGAGTGTCAAAGCTATGTTATTCTGTAAGCTGTGTCTCTGAGTTGTTGCAAGTTGCAATAATTGGCTACAATCCAATAGTTACTTATATCACAGATTATACAGATTATAAACTTTGTTTTTTCTTTATTGTTTTTCGTGGTTCCAATTTTCGGAATCGGGCACTAGTTAGGTTACTAGTTTGCGCACATAGCACGCCCACTTATGGCCTCTAAAATTGTGCACAGCGCCTGACCGGCACAGTTATTAGAGAGATATCGGAAAACCGAATAGCGTCATGCAGTATTTACGCGTACCTTATCATGGTTACGATATGCGCGAGTCAATTTTTAACGCAACACCCGCTACCGTTACCGCCTGACGTAATTTGCGGATCAATTACACCAAGCGCTATTTCTAAATAACGTTTAAAAATTGCATAAATGGGCATGGAACAGAATTCGAGATCTTTAATTTTAGGTTATGTTTGAATTGTTTTGAATTATTACTTTAGTTTTATTAGGTAATTTGATATTTAAGTAGCTGGGATTAGTTTTAATTACCGTAAAATGGGGTGAATAGAAACAGTTTCGTAGGCTATTAGCGATATACCGGTTGATAAAAATGTGATATTATTTTCCCGAATATTTTAAAACATGGGTCTTTGTTCTTTGCGTATACATATAATTTGATTTTTGAAAAATATGCATATAAATATTAAATAAAAATAACATTTGTGTTTCTATTCACCTGCTATTCGGGAGAATAGAAACACACATTGATGTTAAGGTTTTTATCTATTCTATTTCCAACAAGGTGATTAGAAATAGTAAATTATTACATATTTAAGTAGGTTTTATAATAATTAACAATACATATAATATAACAACTTACATGTACCAGCTTATGTACTACTTTAAAAATAAATATTTTATTTATAAAGTTTTCGCGCCATACAAAATAGGTGATAAATCGATCTCACATTTATTGATCAGCGGATTGACAGAAACAGTGCTGCCACAGATAAAAATATAGTTTTAACACAGCCATGACACTAGATTGAATTTTAAAATGCTATTTTCTTTAATTGAAAATGTCAAAAGTTGACATATGATATATGTCATTCTATTCAGAATGTCATTTTCTATCAAATAAAGTATAAAAAATACCGAGGGTACCATTTAAAAATCAAATGTTGTACTTGACTTCATACATGTTCGTATACATTTCCGGTGAAACAGGAAGTGACCGAAACTAACGGAATACGAATCAATCTCGATTTATGTCATATAGTAACATACCGAATTTGGTAAACCCCGAATTTAATTTTTTTATCTGAAAAAATAAAAAAGTTATAGAGGTGAACCGCTTTTGAAAAAACACTCAGTATAGGCTGCGTAATTGAAAGAATCTGCAGATATTTTTCTATTTTAAATACGTAGTCGAATTTCAAAAATATATATTGAACAGCCTGTAGCATCTACCTTAAATATCTACATATAAATATCTAATATTTTTTCTTCGTCAACAAATTGAAATATTATAAAACTAGTTTTAGCTTACACCATTATACAAGAAATATACGTAAAAAAAAGTAACAGAATTTTACGCAGAATCTAAAATAAAATAGGATGTTACATTTAAAAAAAACATTATGTTAAATCCGCCACACTTTTTACAAAGTTACAGACGTAGGTACTTAGGTATAGTTTCATATTATATTCTTTAATTATCCATCTAAAAATAAAATATTTATATACCTAATATAATACTTCAGTATCCAACAAGTAGCCATGAAAATCAAAATAAATATAAATCCATGTCCAAAAATAAAAAATGTAAATAACGCTTTGAGGTATAAATTCGGTTCGAATCAGATAAGATATTTTATTTACCGATAATGAAATTCGAAGAATTCCTAGTCCCTACTTCTTTGCCAAATTCAATAGTCTCCGCCCCTTTTTACGTTTTAATTTCTGCCACCAGTTGGCAGCATCGATTTATACAGGCACATTGACTAACTATTAATATATAAACAAGGGTATTACCAATGATAGAAAAATTAGATATGTCGACTCTTTTTACTTTGAATATTTTTAATCGTGATTTGATTTTTTTCAGAAATTTTGTTTCTATTCACCACTATGTTTCTATTCCCCCCATTTTACGGTAAATAAATATGGCCCAAAATATGAATTGCACCTCTTCCAATATTAAAGAACCTATAAAGAGGCTTAGGTTTACAGCAGTTGACGACTTAGCCCTTCTAAGAGAATTTGTTGCTTGTTCCCTAAACCCACTGGCAGACGCTGAACAATAAAGCACTGGAAATAAGCACTTTAGCCCTCTAGTTTTAAAATACCTAGTAAACAAAACAATTTCAAAGTTTTAAATTCAAAGTTAGGTTAAGTTTAAATAGCGGACGCGACGCGAACAGAATTCTTTCCGATCCGATAACTACTATAAATGAAGAGAGTTTATACCACCTCACGTAAAGGAAATAACACCTGGCCTTATTAACGTCCATGCACGCTATTCGGTTTAGCGATATCTCTCTATTACGCTGTTTATTGTTATTTTACGCGAGTTTATTTTTGCGCACAGGAAATTTTATTCGTTTGCACATCGTCATAAAAAACACAATTTTCGTACCACGAATTAGGGATATTCGGGATTTTTATCTGTATACTTATCGAGTATACCTAATCTGTGCATATATGTTGGGACACCTCTATATTTAGGGATTTCTTTGAGTTTTCTTCTAAAATAACACACTTTTTTTGCTAGAACTACGTCATAGATAAGAAATTAGAAAACGAAGAAGACTTTTTGATAGAAAAAGGCTGTATAGTAGTCGTACCGATCTTCGGACTACATATGGACCCTAATTACTTTCCAAATCCTGATGATTTCGACCCTGAACGTTTCAATGAGGAAAATAAACATAAGATTGTTCCAGGAACATACATGCCTTTTGGGATGGGACCCAGGAATTGTATTGGTAAACAATAAAAAAATACTGGATACTGTGTGATATAATAAAAACTACATCACAGTACAAATACCTACAGGGTGTACCAGCTAAATAGAATAAATTTGATTGGTACTTTGAGTTAGGCATTTTTATCAACAAAAACTTTTTATACAAGGATGTATCATATAGAGAGCCTTCAATGAGCCCTTTAGTTCCTAATTATTTAACTAAAAAAATAGTTTTGGTCATTCTATTCTGTTTTTACTATAAATTTCCCTTTTTTCTTAATTCTTTGTTCATTTTTCTTTGACAACAGTGGCCTGTGGCGTTGTATTTATTCAATCACACTGTATTCTTTTAGTAAACTATGTTTTTTTCAAACGACACAAAAGTAATAATTTTTGCGACGTGATTGACAATATAAAAAAGTAATTTTAACCCTAGGCACAAAGTTAAACACAAAAGTACGAAAATATATTATTAAACTGACTAAAGTGTCAAATTCAACGAGTTTAACCATAGTTTGTCGATATATAATTACTTACAAGGTATTATTTTTAAATCTTTTAATTATTTGTGTTATTTTATTTTTAGGTTCCAGATTTGCTCTGCTAGAAATCAAAGCTCTAGTAGTGAGTTTTCTGTCACAATTTAGTTTGGAACCTGTCAAAAAAACAGAAATACCTATCACGTTTTCGAAAACAGCCATTTTGAGTACAAAAAACGGCATATGGATAGGCTTGAAGAAGCGTTGAAAAGAATTACGTAATTTAAAATGTTCTGGAATTTTTTTCCTATTTCTTTATTAAGTTTATGTAAAATATTTGATGTGTACATAAGAAAAGTTGATATTAAATCATTTTTACCGGAATATTTTGATATTTGTTTTTTATTTTACTCATCAGAATCGAAAAACGTTACAGGAATTACAGCTGAGACAATAAAATCCTTATAAACATTATGTAAAAATATATTATTAAATCTGATATTATACAGGGTGTTTTCCCCCGTATAATAGCAGAGTTTCAAACCATTTAAAGGCTTATTAAGTTTTTAATATATTGATCAATATCCCTTCCCAAGCAGCATTTAGTCGGGGCGCAACGTCGGCACAACCTCGTACCAACCCTAGTCTGCACTAGTTTGGAGAATAATTTTTGGGTCGAAACGACGTTGGATACCGACGTTGGCTAGAAGCCTAATTTAGTACAAACTGCAACGTTGTTTAAAACCCTAATTCACAGAAATACAAAACTAATATGGCGTCTAAGTCGCGTTTTATCCTAAATTGGGATAATTATAGTAAAAATATTATTTTTATGATTTAGTTAGAGACATATGTCAGATGGCAGTGAAGGAAAACAAAACAAAAGTATTTAAGTGTGGAGGATGTTTGAAGATCATAATTATTGAAACACTTTAACCGACTCTGTAACTCATTACCCAAAGGAAAAAAGTTAAACGCAAACAACTTTATTGATAAATGTATTGTTTCTACTTTGAAAAATACTAATGGGCCTTAAAATTAAAAAAGTTTTAAAAATTTTCTTGAATTTTTTTTTAGTAAAATGAGAATAATTTATTCGCAGTCGAAAAAATTGTTTCCGCGTGATTTTTAGGGTCAAATATTTCAAGTTAATGTATTCAAAAAGCAGGAATTGCTATTTTAGGAACGAAACATTTTCTTATTTAACAACATGGCGGCTTTCACTTTGTTGTTTTGGGAGATTAAGATGGAGTAGTTCGAGTAGTCGCATACTGGACTAATAAAGTCGCAGTTCAGCCTTAACAGGTAGTATACTAGTCGCAAGATTGCCTAATTTAGTCATCCTAGAGTCTAGCTTGTGCCGCCCTCTATAATCTAAATAAACGAGGGAGTGGATAAACTATCGGTAATATATGCCGATGTATATTTAAATTTAGTTTTATATGTACCTTTCTTATGTCCCATTTTAAATAAGTTTTTTTTATAAAAACAAAAACAGCACTGAACTGTCTGACTGAACAGAACAATGAAGTGAAAATTTAAGATTTAAGGTTATGGTTCAATACAGTTGCAAAAAGGTAGTGCCTCGACGTCCTACCAACGTAAGAATAAGGAAATCTAAACAACGTTGGAATAAGTAAAACAGACGACGTTTACATAACGTTGGAATAGGTCCTGAAACTGACGTCGGAAAACTCTATATTGTCCAACGTTGTAACTACGTTGTCCGAATCACCTAAAGATCACTTAAGCAAAAAAGGTTACAAGACAACGTTTATTCGACGTCGCAGAAGCTTCTACTTTGCTGTATTACTAGTCCAACGTCGGCACAACGTTATAAAAACGTTTAAATTTATTTTAATACCCAAGGTAGGGAGCTAACTATTTTTTGGAACTAATCCAACGTTGTGTTTAGTAAATATGTGGTCGCAAGTCGTGAAAATGCTACTTGGTTTTTTTTTTTCTAGAACAATAAGTATTATCAAATATCTTTTTTGGTTTCCAATTTTTTATACTGTTTTATATAAAAATAATTATCATCAAGTTGTCTACGAAACATAATTTAAAATGTCCGTTTTTTAATGTATAATAACCAAAGAATAAAAAAACCTCTACAAAAAGCAAGAATTCTTAAAATGACTTTGTGCTTTTTTAATCTGTTTTCTATAAAATGATCTCCAAACATAAACAACAAACCAATTTAGTTTAATCATTCATCATGAAGTGTTAATAATTTGTACAGGATACAGGATTATATTTGTTTTTTATATTTTAATATTTAATGTAAGAGCCCCCATAGACGTTCAGTTCTTTAGTACAGATCAGTTATTGTTTAACCCGTATCACTGCCTGTCTGTCTCGCACCTACAGGCAGTTTTCTATCACAGAGGCCCGATTCTGTAAACACTTCTCTTGTCTAGTGACTCATCAATCGTATACAAATAGCATAGGCTAGACAGGAAACTTTTTTAATTTGTCATTTATGCTGAGAAATTAAAATATGAAATAAAACGACTTATATAATCGTGACCTACAAATAATTTCCTACAAAACCTAATACATTTAAATAAAAAATTACAGCTATCAAAAAATATATAAAAAATTATGAATATTTTCTTGGTCAAAAGTATGGAAACTTAAGAAGGATGTTTATTAAAATTCAAGATAATATAAAAAAATACTAATATTTAGTGGAATATCCCTTTGAAATTAATTACTTCTCTACATCCTCGTGGCATCGAATCAATCAATCTCGTACAATCTTTACTGGAAATGGCCGCCCATTCAGTTTTTAGCACTTCCCATAATTCATTTTTATTTGAAATAGAATGGCTTCGAATTTTGCTATCCAAATGGCCAATCCATTAGTGGAACATTATGTTCATTTAACCAATTTTGAACAAACCGAGATTTGTGCTTGGGATCATTGTCTTGCTGGAACAACCATCTGAGTGGCATTTCTTCATCAGCATGAGGCAGCATATTATTCTCCAATATGTCTTTGTACAAAAAACGGTCCATTATCCCATCAGTTTTAACAAGAGGACCAACATCTGAGCGAGAAAAACACCCCCATACCATTATACTCCCACCCCCATGTTTTACTGTGGGCATCTGGTACTTATGGCTGTACCGTTTACCTTTTGGTCTTCGGACATAACGTCTCCCGTCACTACCAAACAGTTGAAACTTGCTTTCGTCGCTAAACAGTACAGTATTCCGTTTCTGATAAGACCAGGTGAGATGATCTTGAGCAAATTTAAAGCGGGCCATCCTATTTTTCTTTGATATTAGTGGTTTCTTCACCGCAACTCTTCCAAAAAGTCCCATGTCATCCAACCTTCTTCTCACCGTGCGTGCAGACACCGATATTCCCCTTTCACCCATTTCTCGAGAAATGTGTGTGGATGTTTTTCTTGGATCTCCCATTGATATTCTTTTCATTACTTTCATTGACTGACTTAAAAGCAGTTGAAACGTTCCCTGTTTTATTAAATTTACGAATTATTTTCGAAACGGTGCCTTTTAAAATGTTTAAATTTTTACTTATTTGAATTTGTTTATAACCGCTCTTGTATAATTCAACTATTTTATTTTTTAAATCCGTAGAGAAATATTTAGACTTCGGCATGATGTTTATATTTATCTGAAGCAAATCGTACAGTTTATCAGCTTAAACTAAATAATTTTAATGTATTTATTTATGGTTTCCATACTTTTGGCCACAAGAAATCTGTTGCTCTCCTACAAAAATTGCTAAACAGATTTTTTTCGCTGTGTAATTTTTGGAATACTTTTATTTGCTGATAAGGTGTTCATTTATATTCCTGAGAGTTTAAGCATAGCAATATTTTCTGTGATATTTTAAAAAGTAAGAAGTTTCCATACTTTTGGCCGCCACTGTACTTATGAAATACTGCTGTCGAGTATCTATCACACCATTTTTGATCGTGTTATTTTTTTAATAAAAAGTTTATTTAAATACATGGGTGTCCAAAAATTACCAGAAATAAGTTTTAAAAAATTTTCTCCTAATTATGAAATAGGTAAAATACACGAAATTTGTTGATTTTCTACAAAATCTGGATTTTTTTGTGAAATTGAAAGAATATGAAGGTTTTTTAAGGCTTCGTTGAAGAAATTCGCTTGAAAATTTCTGGCAACACTGCTTAACCACTTGACTCGACTCGTGTAAACGCACCTTTAATGGTGTTTTCAAAAAAATAATAATTCTTATTTTTGATGATACGATTATTAGGTATTGTTACGAACTTAAAAAAAATCTTGAGCAAAGAGTGTTTTAAGCTGAATCAAATAATCTTTTATTAATTTTTTTAAGAAAAAAACAACAAAAAAACACTTGTAATGGCTTTTTAAAAACTCTCCAAGGAAGATTTATTTCCACGTGATTTAATATCCAGCGATTTGTGAAGAGATTAAAAATATATTATAGAGGATCAAAAATTCAGCTTTTATTTGTTGATTATAAAAATTGTTTCTTTATCTGCCTCGTAAGGAGTATTAAACAATATATTTCTTAGGAAAATATACTAGATTCAACAAGTATTAAGACGTATTAATTATAAAAAAATGCCGCGTTGGCATTTAATTACTATACACAGAGAAAAATTTCTTATACTATACGATCGAAAAAAAACGGCTGGAAATGACAATCGATGATAATTTTGGCGAGGTCAAGCCATATTCGTCTTTACTTGACTCTTAGCTCGTACTCCGTCAAAATTATCATCGATTTTTTCTTCCCCTAGGAGATGCAAGACCTTGTCACAAACCTTGTCGTTGGTGGGGAAGCTCCTATGGTCAGGTGCCGTGGGGAATCCCCCCTAGCACTTGGCTTGGTCTAAGAAGCATCTCACTCATCGTCTTGTCCCTGACTGTAGTGTCGTGGCCAGGGAATTGCACCAAGACATATAACGATACCGGGCGGGGCTACGGACAGCCTCAACCTTGGGGCATCGGGGGGCACCTCATTGTATTTTACCCCTTACTTCTACATGCGGGGCTCTGTAGAAGTGGACCGACTGTCCCTAGCGACTCATGGGAACACTATGAGATCTGGTAATAATAGTAATAAAAACATCACCGGTGAAGCTGTGGGGAAACCCCCTAGCAACACTGGGAACACAGTAACAATGAAAGTTCCAAGGGGCCAAACCCAAAGAGAACTACAGGAGAGGTGGCTGACACTTGCGTGAGACCATCCTCCGCAAGTGGCATACAAGTTACCACCTCCTCCAAGGGTCTGGAGCCTACCTCCTACCTCTAAACCCAACAGGCGACACAAGCTACCGTTTCGTCTACCCGGCCTGGGTCGTAGCTCCTCGACTGTGAAGGACACGGGTCTCCTTAGGAAGTCCTGGGACTGTATGAT